GTCTTTCATAAAAGTGAAGTGGTATAAAGTGAACTTTCAGACAGCAGAGGATACAGGTATTGTGGTTGTTGTTAGGTACTGTTGAGTTAGGTGCCAAACTCATAGCCACTCTGTGTACAGTAGAACAAAATATTTCCTGGTCCTGCATAATTCTCACAGTCCTTGGTATGCTTGAGCCCATTGTTGCAGCTACTGTGTCAATCCTTCTTGTTGAAGATCTTTCCCTTTTTCTATGACCCTTCACTTTACCACGCATGATATCCTTCTCCAGAGACTGATCCCTTATGACAAAGTGACCGAAATAGGTGGGACAAAGTCTGGCCATTTTCTCTCCTAAAGAGCATTCCGGCTACACTTCTTCCAGGACAGATTTGTTCATTCTGGCACTCCATGGTATTTTCTGTATCTTCACCAACACCACAATTCAAATGCATCAATTCTTCTTCAATCTTCCCTATTCATTGTCCAGCTTTCATATGCATAGGGGGCAATTGAAAATACCATGGCTTGGGTTAGGTGCACCTTAGTCTTCCAAGTGACATCTTTGCTCTTTAACACTTTAAACAAATCTTGTGCAGCATATTTGCCTAGTTCAATACGATGTCTGGTTTCTTGACTGCTACTTTCGTGGGTGTTGATTGTGAATCCAAGTAAAATGAAATCTTTGACAACTTCAGTCTTTTCTCCATTTATCATCCTGTTGCGTATTGGTCTGGTTGTGAGGATTTTTGTATTCTTATGTTGAGGTATAATCCATACTGAAGACTGTAGTCTTTGATCTTCATTAGTAAGTACTTGAAGTTCATCTTCACTTTCAGTAAGCAAGGTTTTGTCATCTGCTTATTGCAAATTAATGAGTCTTCTTCCAGTCCTGATAACTGAGTTCTTCTTCATATAGTACAGTTTCTCAGATTATTTACTCAGCATACAGTGTATTATTATTTAGTTATAATAAATGAACAAGAGGGTTGGAATAATAGGAAATTATTATCACAAAGATGTATATTTGATTTTAAGGGCTTAGACCTGTCATAGTTCTAGATAACAACAATGTCCAGGGTGTAGCTGAGAGAGTTGAAGCCTGCACCAAGTCGAAGTGGTTCCTGAAACAGAAGTGATTGTGGAAGAGAAGCTTCAGTATTAAAATAGATAGATAGTGAAGTACTTACACTTGGAAATACAGTGTTGTCTGTGTTTCCGTGTTCAATTCCATGTTACTCCTCAACATAATGGTTTTCTACCTACTCCACTCTGCTGAATCTATTCTTGCTGATGTTACCCCTCGCTCTCTAGTTCCCAAGTCACATGTTCGTTTTCATTTGTGAGCTTGATCTTCTATGGCATTCAACACTGCTGGGTGCTGTGTCACCTGGAAATTCTCTCCTCTTTTCCTTCAGGATCTCACTCATTCCTTGTCTGTGTTTATTTTTCCAGCTCTTCCTAATCTTTACTGAATTCCATTCCTCTATGTTTGAATCTTAAATTTTTTGGTCCCCAGTGGTTTTAGTGGTTATATTCTCTGTTTGGAGCTCTGGTAGCATAGTTCCTAAGGCACTTGACTGCTAACCAGAAGGCTGGCAGTTCAAACCCACCAGCCACTCCTCAGAAGGAAGGTTGGGCAATCTACTTCCGTAGTGATACTGCCTCGGTAACCCAAGGAGGGGTCGCTATGAGTCAGGCCAACTCAAAGGCACATAACAACAACAACATTCTTTATTTGGTTTGCATATATTCAAATAGATGGCTTATAGGACCATCCATATACAACTCCTCTCTGCCTCCTATTTTTACCTTTCTCCTAACCTCCAGATACATTTGCCTGACAGCCCAATATACATTCTACTTAGATGTCCATCTTCCCACTACTCATCAAATTCACATAATTCACTTTTGTCTTGCCCCAAAGCTGATTGTTCTTTTGTGTTTTCTTTGCATTCTCTCTATCTAACAGCACCCCCTGCACATTGAAGGTATAACCATAGAGATTCTCTTCCCTCTTATCCCAAATTTGTGAATAAGTTCTGTGAACTGCTGCTTCTTCCTTCTTGCTATCTCTGTTGTACTTCCTTACTTCAGAGTCTCTAGTTAGCCTTAGGTTACTGAAATAACTTCCTAAATTGTTTCCTAAATTACCCCACCTATAGTCTGTTCTACATAGTCATTATAGGGATTATTCTAAAAAGTAAATATGATTATCTCATTCCCTTGGTCAACAACCTTCAAAGGTTCATCTTTATGGTTCTCTACTGCTTCATCAACTTTATTTTCATCATACTACTATATACATTATGTCTTAGCCAAAATTCTCTGAGGTGTATTACATGCCTTTGACCATTGCACATGTTGGGCCAGAAGTGTTCTTCTTGGTACCTGGAATATAAAAAACATCCAAATGTTGGCTGACATTATTGTTAATATTTTAATTTTAAATCTTGTTAGTAAGACCTCCTCCCAGAATTTTTAAATAAAAATCAAGGCCTGCTGAGAATTCAGACTTTAAAATCATGCTCCATGGTATCTGAGTAGACCCTGTCCAAGTTATTCTAAAGGGACAGAATGGCTCCCATGCTAGCTAGGCTGAACTTTACTACAGTTGAATATATGCAGGTCTCTAAGGAAAGAATGTGTGAATCAGAAAGGAGAATGCTCAACAGTGGAAGCATAGAAAGGGAGATTGAGAGGTTCTGCCTATCCAAACACTATTTAGTGAACAGATTTCTGTTGCCCAAGAACCAAGGTGTTTTGCTTACCTTAGTGCCGTTCTAACAGAAAATAGCACAAATGGGATGGCTTTAACAAATAGGAGTTTATTCTTACAATGTTTAGAGGCTAGAAGTTTGAGTTCCAAGTGCCATGCTCTAGGGGCTGTATGACAGCCCCTTGACCTTGGGCTTCAGCTCTGCCTCTTGCTCCTGGCCTACTGAATGAAGCTAGAGACAACTCTTCACTTAGGCAGTTATTGGCTGCTGAGGCTAACAAGCCCAAGGTTGACAAATAAATTGGCACAGGCCCAATGTTACCAAACAACACGGCAAACCATTGATTCAAGTTCATTGAAAGTCCCAAGATCAGCAGAGCATCGCAGGCTGCTGAAGAATGATTTGGCTACATACAGGGTTCAAGTGTGCCATAAACTAGAGACTATTACCAAAGCTGCTTCTTATATACAGGAAGCAGACCACAGCCCTAAAGCAGCTACTCAGCTACTTGTGGTAAGTCCCACCATGGAGTTGATTGCCAATTTCATTATGGGGAAAAACTACCACCAGCTGCCCAGCCACTCAACCAGGCACAGCCAGGTTGTCACACAAACTTAACTACCACACAAGGCCTTTTTTTTTTTTTTTTTTTTAAATTTTGTCCCTACACTTAAGAAGGAGACATGTTATCAGAGTCTGATGCCTTTAATCATTTGACTTTTTTTAGTAACCTCCATTCTCTTTGGTAAGCAAGTGTCCAGTTATACTTTAGTTTTTCATGTGAGGTGTTTACTGGGAAAGAGTGTAAGGCTTCTAGGAAGTCATAGTTCACATTGCAAATCAGCACATGCTCATTCTGGCATTATTTAGATTCAGGAAGAGTCCATTCACAGTGTTCCAATGATGGAGAATGATCTCAGGACTCCAATGCACCATCACTGAGTCAGTGAAGAGAGAGCCAAACACTTGGACGATTAAGTCTCTATTACTTAGGGAATTACATGTTTGTCTTATTTATTATATTGTGCACGTCCTGAGATCTGAGATTGCATCTTCTTCCTGCCTGACAGGGGTCTCTCACAGCGCTAGCAAAGAGCAGGAAGCTAGATGTTTGAATAAATAAACGAAACCAGTTGCCATAGGGTTGGTTCCGAACCATGGCAGCCTCATATGTGCAGAGTAGAGCTGCTTCATAGGATTTTCATGACTGTGACCTTATAGAAGCAGATTGCAGGCCTTTTATCTGAGGCACCTCTGGGTGGGTTTGAGCCTCCAACCTTTCAGTTAGAAGCTGCATACTTAACTGTTAGTGCCACAAAATGCACTCAATTAGCCAAGCAATCTCTTTGTAGAATGGGGCTCCATCCCTTCAAGGGAGGGAAAGATTGAGAGAGATTTCAGAAGTGGGCCTGTAAGATGGAGGGAGTGATGACTAGCATGAGAATAGGAATTTATAGTGGGACTTGTTCTCTGGATAGTTGCTGAGGACGACAGTTGAGAAGGCATTCCTGGGATTAACCTGTCTTCAAGTTGGTTTGGTATGTGTGAGGTTATTTCCTTGTTGATACAGTGGAGGCATGGGTGACATGAGAAGTTACATGACATCTACTTCCTGGCTGGCATTCTTTGACTATTGCTCAGACTTCCAAATAAAATGTTGGTGAAAAGCTATTTTAGACCTCTGAAAAGTTGAAATCCCAATAGATGGAAAGGGTGTAATTAATGCTGTAACATAGAAGAAGCAATCAGCATTCACCTGGGCTTGCAGTCTCAGCAGAGGAATTTGGTGCCCTTAGACTGTGGTCCATTATTGGTCTCTGTAGGTGAAGTCATTGCTGCCTGTTTATCTCCTCCTCCAAAATCCTTTGTGGCCCAGCCCAATTCCTCCTCCTTCGCAAAGTCTTTCTTTTAGTATTGTAGTCTACATAAGCCTCTCTCCTCTGAACTCCTATTAGACTTAATATTTATGTCAATCATTTTAGCCATTCTTTGTCAAATCTTCTGGATACATATATTGCCTTCCAGGTAGATTGTAAGGTCGAAGGAGCACATGATTTTCTTATATCTTCTTATTGTTCAAAGAAAGGTGCTGATATATAAGAATATAATATTCATATCACTCATTCTAGCCGTTTTTTGTTGAATCTTCTAAATATACTGTCTTCCAGGCAAATTGTAAGCTCAAGGGACCACATTGCTTTCTTGTATGTTCTCATAGTTGATAGGATGGTACTAATTTTGACTGTTACTGATATCCAAAAATACTCACAGAATTATTTATGTATTTATTATTGTATTTAGGACTGTAAAGAGATTGAAGAAAAGCGGTTTAATCCTGAAGGAGTGAAGCTTTTTGTGAACAACGTCTCAGCAGAGGACAGAGGGAAATATGCATGTCAAGCAAGACTGACACACATGGGGAAAGAGTACATAGTTTTAAATAGCATTAGTGTAGATATCAGTAAGTGTGTTCATATCTGTCACTTCATCTCCCTTTTGCTTTGTGCGAGCTTGCTGGCTTTGGGCAGAAGTGGTTCTTGATCTTGATTGTCCTGAAGGTGATTAGGCTCTCAAAACAACATTAAAATCAGAGAACAGAAAGAGTGCAGCAGAAGGACATGAGCAAGTTAGTTTGCTCATCTGGGAAAACAGAATCTTCAAAACTCTTCAATTATTTGTGAAAATTAAGTGAGGCCATGTGTGTAATATAGCTACTATGGTGCCTGTCAAAACATAGGTATTCAGAGAATGGGTGATACTATTAATGTTACTTTTACTTTGGTCAGCTATTACAGCTGTGAATATTAAGGTTGGCCATTCCACTCACTGTCTCTACAGAGTTCAAGGTTGGTGGGCTTGGTTCCAGAATAATCAAATGCGAGTGGGGTTTCAGTTCTAAACCCAGAGTGTCCAGTTTTCTTGAATATATGACTTGGAGATTTGAAAACAGAATCTTGGGGCTCAAAGAAACCCTAAAATAATTTAAGTCAAACTACTAATTAATTATACAGACGCCCTTCAGGAGAGGAGCAATTTATTCAAGCTGACAGAGCTGGTTAGTGACAAAAGCAAGACGAGGACTCAGGTCTTCCAGTGCCCAGGCAAGCAATTTTCCCTCTAAACATTCTGGGAAAGGAATTCCTGCTAAGTGACTTATTGTGGTTTCTTCAGTAGAGAGTTGCATGGTTTAGTAATTGGCTGCTTACTGAAAGGTTGGGGGCGTGAATCCACTAGTGACTCTGGGAGAAAGACCTGGGATCTGCTCCTATAAAAATTATACTCTGTCCCACAGGGTCGCTATGAGTTGGAATCATCCTGAAAGCACACAGCAAGAACAGTCTAAATGGAGGGAACTGAAGGTTTGATATTTCTTTGACTTGGACCCTCACTTTTTTAAATTCATTTCTGTATAACTTTGAAGTACAGACGATGTTCAGCTATTACTGGTGAGGCACTCCTGATGAGATGTTCAGTATGAGTAACTCCCTATTCCCTTCCTGGAGAGGCTCCTTGGGGCCATTTATTCAACAGACGTCCAGCAGCTCCCTACATTGAAGCCATATTGTTCCTAGTCTCAGTCCATCCTGGTATTCTTTCCTGCAATTGCTTAAATATTCTTAGCTAGTCTTTAATTTTAATTTTCTTTAATACAGTCCTCTTAAGGAGCTCTAATGGCATTGTGGTTAAATCATTGGGCTGATAACCAAAAAGGTCAGCAGTTTGAAATAACCAGCTGCTATGCAGGAGAAAGATGAGGCAGGCTGCTGTGAAGATTTACAGCCTTGGAAACTCTCTGAGGCAGTTATACTCTGTCCTATAGGGTCTCTATGAGTCAGAATTGACTCAATGTCACTGAGGTTAAGGACTTCTTAATTAAGAAAATTGTCTTGGATTTTATGTTTTTTATGATATTTTATGATAGTTGGTATCTCTTTGATATCACTGTGTTATCCTCAATTGAATCCTCAGCACTGAGGCCAGTGTGTCTGGGCTAGATGAGGCACAGAACTATTTATTAGCAGAATGGTTGACTCCTAGAATACTTTAGTTTTACATTAATCCTGTCAGGGATTGTTTTCAAAAATTTACAGTTAAAAAGAAATATTTATTTCAAGAGGTTGTTGGGTTGAATAGTCTATATTTCATGTCAGCATAGTAAACACTTACTTATGATCTTTTATATTTGAAAAATTGTGTTAAGCTTGAGAATTAAAAAATGACTGAAATTGTTCCTTCTATGAAGACATTCTCAGCCTGGTAGCAGTGGAGCTAGAGATAATAACGGATTATTTCCACATTTCATGTAAGCATAGAGTTATATTCAGAGTGTCTGGGGGCCAGGGAAGGTATTGGCACACCATAGTGAATTGGACTCAACAGTGGTGACAAGCACCACTTTGGTCTGATGATGCGTCCAAAGGGAAATAACTTCTCAGCTGAATTTTGAAGCAAGTATAATTAGTACAAGTAAAAAATGGTGAGAAGGGGTCACTAAGCATAAGAATAGTGTAAGATAAAGTGTAGAAGTGACAAACATTGTGGTTCATGTTGGATCTATAACCAATATTGTTAGAGCATGAGTATGAGGTGAGGAGTGATAGGAGCTGAGGCCATCAAGTTAAACAGGGGCAAGTGAGGGGGGCTGTGCATATGTAGACTTTATTATGTGCTGCAAAAGAGCCCTTAAACAGGTGCAAGTGGAGAGTGACGAGGCTGTATTTGTGATGGATGAGATCTGTCATGATCAAAAATTTACAGGTAAAAAGAAATATTTATTTCAAGAGGTTGTTGGGTTGAATAGTCTATATTTAATGTCAGCTCAGTAAACACTTACTTATGATCTTTTATATTTGAAAAATTGTGGTATGAAGCAGGAGTTGAAGGGGATCTTGAGGCTTAGACATATGTTAGGAGGCTGCTGCAACACCCACAAAGTTGCTGATGGTCTGAACTTGAGTGGAGGTGATGGAGGATTTCTCCCTTCAGGCTGTCATTTAGTGATCTAATAAGGTCAAGTCCTGTGCTAGGCCAAGTGAACATGAAGGTGAGGAAAAACACCTGATTACTGCTCATATAGAGCATGAAATCTGAGGTGGAAGGAGATACAGAGATTAATCAGGTAATCTACTAATGAAATATGTAATAGCCAAGGATATTAATGTAATGAAGGAAAGGAACATATGAGATCAAACAGACAAGGACCCGTTGAGAAGGCAGGTCAGGGAAGACTGTGATAACAGTGATGCTGTAGGATCAGGAAGCATTAACTAAATGATGGAATGGATGAGATATTTCCAGACCAAGGGAGCAACAGAAGCAAAAGTTCTTTAACAAGAGGGACTAGGGTGTCTGAAGAACAGAAAGCAGGCAAGTTGTGTTGAAGTGACGTGGATGAGGGTGAACATGGTAATTAATGAGTTTGGAGAAGTGTTCAGGGACCAAGACCAAGTTAGAACAAAACAAAACATAACAGTTGTTGTTGATTCTGCCTCAGGGTGACCCCACGTGTGTCAGAATAGAACTGTGGTCCTTAGGGTTTTCAATGACTGATTGTTCAGAAGTAGATTGCCAGGGCTTTCTTCTGATATGTCTCCAGGTGGACTAGAATCTGCAACCTTGCCATTAACAGTCAAGCATGCTACTGTTTGTATTACCCAGGGACTCCTAAAACCAAGTAAGGACCTATAATTCAAAGTAGGAAGTTTGGGTTATATTCTAAGAACAAAGGTAAGTGACCAGAAAGGTTGAGAGCAGGAGAGTTGATTGGTGTGATTTACATTTCAGAAAGAGCAATCTGGCCGTTGTGTACAGAATGATCTGTTCAGGGACAAGAGTGGTGGTTAGGAAGCAAAAGCAGGAGTTTAGATGAGACATCATGTTGGAACAGGTAGCATGGTCACAGTGAAGATGGAGAGATGTGGATAGATACAAGGCATTTTAGGAGGTAAAACTCACTGGATCATGATTCTGTTCAATGAAATAAGATAACTCTGCAGGGAAATTGAATTTAGGAGTGAGATTATGAATTTGGTCATGGATGTATTGAGTGTGAAGTGCTTTTCAGATGTCCAGCTGGAAATGTAAGTAGAGTAGGCAGTAGCCTATATGAGTCTGTAGCTTAGAGGAAGGGTCTAGAGATAAAGCTTTCAAAGTCATTGAAATTTAGATGGTAATTGAAGAAGTTGATATGAAAGATTTTGCCTAAGAAGTGAGCACAGCATAGAAATAGAGTGTGAGATAAAAAGCTGTTGCCTAGAATGATTTGCACATTTTAGATATAAGTGCTCTAGTGGATGGTGGTGACTTTAACTATGTAGTGATAGCTTTTAATTTGGACATACTGAATTTGAAGTTTGTAGACTGTTCAAATATTAATGCCATCATATAGGGTATACATTTTTGTATCTTTCCTAGTTTTCCTCTTATAGCTTTCCATAGCTCACCGTAAATAGAAAGGAAGAATATGGGACTAAGTAGGTGATTGGCAAATTTTGGTGGACAAGTGAGTTAGAGGAATAGTGGGAAAGACTAAGGGGTTAGGGAATGTTTACACAGGAAAAATCATGCAGTGGTAGTGTAATAAAATCATTGAAGAATAACAGAAGAGGAAAGGATGTCAAATAACATGGAAAAGCAGAGTTGGAGGGTGGAAGATGCAACTGAAGATATAATATAAAGGGAACCTAAGGACAGCTGATCTTTGACAAAGTGCTAAAACTCATTAAATGGGGAAGAGATCATTTCTTTTATAAATGGTGCTGGCAAAACTGGATATCCATTTGCAGAAAAATGAAATAGGGCCCATATCAGACACTTTATACAAAAGCAAATTCAAGTTGGATGAAAGACCGTAACATAAAACCTAAAGCCATAAAGACCATTGAATTAAAAATAAGGATCCTAATTCAGGGCATAAATACATTATTGAACATAACTAAAAACACACAAACACTGTAGGACAGAATAGATGACAGGGAACCCCAAAAAGCCAGACATTTATGTGTATCGAAAGATTGCAACAGAAGAGTAAAAAGAGAACCCACGGATTGGGAAAAAAAATGTTGCCAGTGACAAATCGGACAAGTCTCTCAAATTTATAGAAAACTTCAACACCTCAACAACAAAATGACAAGTAATTGAATTAAAAGATGGTCAGAGGACATGAACAGACATTTCACCAAAGACATTTAGGCAGCTAACAAACACATGAAGAAATGCTCATGATCATTAGTCATTGTTGTTGTTTGTTGGAGAGATGCAAATCAAAACAACAATGAGGTATCATCTTACCCCAGCACTAATAACAAAGTTCAAACAAGCAAAAAATGCTGGCAAGGGCATGGAGAGACCAGAATCTTATACACTGTTAGTGGGATTGTAAGATGGTACAACTGCTATGGAAGATGGTATAGAACTTCCTTTAAAAGTTGGAAACAGAAATACCATATGACCCAACAGTCTTACTAGTAAGTATATATCCTAGAGAAATAAGAGCTTGACACAAACAGATATATGCACACCCATGTTCTTCCCAGAACTATTCACAACAGCAAAGAGATGGAAACAACCTAAATGCCCATCAGTGGAGGAATGGAGCAGTGAACTCTAGTAAATACATACAAAGGAATACCATGTAACATTAAAAGAACAATGATGAATCTGTGAAACATCTTATAACATGGATGAACTTAGAGGACATTATACTAAGTGAAATTAGTCAATCACAAAACAACAAGTATTATAAAAAGTCAAAGAAAAGGGTTTCATAAAAAAATAACAACAGTATTCTTTGATGGTTGCCAGGAATGGGTGGGAAAAGGAGGGTAAACCACTAACTAGAAAGTAGACTAAATTATTATATTTAAAGGGAATCACTAGTAGTAACACAAAAACATGTTGAGTACCTTTTGGAGGAAAAAAATATGTTAATTTGGATGAAGGGAAAGGCCAAAAAAACCAAAAAATTTAAATAAATATGAGAGGGGGAAAAGGAAAATGATTTTTTTTTAAAATAAGACACAAATATAAAAAGCCTGGGGGTGAAAGAACATCACATTCCAGACCTATGAGTCCTGGACTTCTTTAGTAAGCACTACATTCATTCTAAAAGTAGAGCATGCTCTTGAACATCTGGTGTCCAAAAACAGCTAGTTGCCTTTCTTGCAATATGCTTATGACTTTCCAGTGATATAAAGTTGTTTAGTGTTCCAAATACCTATTTTCTCTGTTCTCTTTTTGTCTGTACATCCACCTGCTTTGCCAGGCACAAGCTGTTTTTGGTTTTACATGCCATGGTGCTCATGGAGATAGTATTCAGTAGAAGCTAATAGTAGTGAGTTCTCCATTACTGAAGGTGTTCAAGTAAGGACTGAAGGACCATACCCAAGAGTAGTTTGAGAGACATTACTGTATCTAGTAATGTCTGATGTCTGATATAGATAACACCCAATATCTTTCACTCTCTGGATTTCTGATTAGACACTTGTGATGCTCTGATACTGGGTGACTTTCCTTTTCCTTCTGCCACTCCACTGCTAGAGGATGAATAGAAAAAGAGAAAAACAAAACAAAACAACAACAAAAACACCCCAAACCAGAACCTTCCCTTAAAAAAAAAAAAAAAAAAAGGTTATAGTTTCTTTGTACCCAACACCTAGCCTAGAGCTTTGCTTATAGTCACTGCTTAAGGCATGTACTTTGGAGTATCAGATAATGGATTTTATTACACAATCTCATTAGTTCATATTTACATAAAATATGTAACTACAGAAGTGAACTGTCTTATTAGCTTAGTGTCTAGGTTTTTCTTTTTCTTTTTTTCTTAGCAATTCAATTATTTCTGGCTGATAATAGGCATTTATGGAGTGAGATTTTTTCTTATACCATGAATCTTGTTTATTCTTGACCAATGTCTACTGCAAATCTGCTCTGTGCTGTGCTTTCTTTAAATTATTATATTGAAGTAGTTGAGAATGTATTATATGTGATTCTAATGCAAATTTATGTGTGCATGATTTTTTAACAGAAAAAGTTGAATATGGAGACAGAGTCCCTAAAATTACTTATCCAAGAAACAATTCAATTGAAGTAAAACTTGGTAAGTGAAGTCATTGAAGCCATCGAAATTACTAAGGGCAGAGATCAGTATGTCTGCATCTTAGTGCAGTTTTTGAACTTCAAGGATGAAGGCAAATCCCATACACATCCAGAGTCTGGCTTTGGACATACCAAGATCATCAGGAAAAGTATCAAAATAAAAAGTCAGAACTGTGGCCTGGGGAATTGTGGCTTCAAAGGATAGGCAGTGAGCACCCTGGACCTAAAAGATTATTGCATATCTGCTTATGTAAAAGCAATGCAAATATTAAAAAAAAAAAAAAAAAAAGAAAATTCTTGAAACGAAGAGGCATAATGTAAAATACAACTCACTAATTTTGATCAAGAATTCTGGATTTTATCATCTAACATGGGAAAGTATATTACAGGAATAGGGAAAGTCATATTATACACAGGAAGGGATCAATATATGCTACCTTGGTTGTGATCTAAATGGAAAAATATGAACTCAAATTATTATGTTTAAAGGGAATCACTAGTAGTAACACAAGAACATGTTGAGTACCTTTTGGAGGAAAAAAAAATTAAAGGCCCCATTAAAAGACAAATCCTTGTATTGAGTCAAAAATTAAACTCTATCACATGTCCTTCTGAAAATATACATATTGAAAACTATATGATCTGGAAAATTAAAAGTTAATAAGTAATATATGTATGTTGAAAAATTAACAGAAAGAAATTAAGATGGCAATATTAATGTCTGATAATATATTTCTGAGGAAATAATTAAATGATAAATTGAGTCATTGCTGCCCCAAATAGCAATTGTTATGTTTCAAATAACAGTGTATTAAAATATGTAAAGCTAAAACTCAGAAATGCAAGGACAGAAACAATTTTGGGAGATTTTAACAGACTCTGGCTTTGACAGACTTGCTAAGCAAATAAGAATCAAAGGATTTGAATAATATAATAAAAATAGCATATTTCCAACGATCATTTGTGAAAAACTCACATGTTCCAAAAAATGAAATTGTAGAAACCACATGGTGCAATCACAATGCAATAAACTTTGAAACTTATAACTAGAGTTAAAACAGTGAAAATCCAACTCATTTTAAAAATTGGAAAACAAGATCTTCATCTAATATTTTGCTTTCTTGGTTAGAGATTAAACTAAAGCATGATTACAGAATATTTAGAAAATAATGACAGTGTGTCAAATTTCAGGAAGTGTGACCAATGTTATACTCTAAGCAAGTCTATGTTTTTAAATATCATTAAAAAGTATAAACCAAAAAGAACCAAACACACTGCCATCAAGTCGATTCTGACTCTTAGTGACCCCCATTGGCTTTCTGAGGCAGTAAATCTTTATGGAAGTAGATTGGCCAGTCTTGCTTCCAAGGAGTGGCTGGAAGGCTTGAACTACCAACCCTCTGGTAAGCAGTCGCATGCCTTGGACACTGTGCTACCAGAGCTCCTTGTTAAAAAGTATAGTAATAATAAAATGGAAGAATTCACCAATTAGCTGTATAAAAGAGAACAATTAAACAACTCCAACAGGGAAAAAAACTATGATAAAGTAGAAAATAATGAATTTACAAAATAAATAAATAAATTAGAACTGTTAAGTTCCAAAATTGCTTCTAATAGAAAGGTTGAGTGAGAGAGACCAAAAAAAAAAAAAAAAAATAAAAAAACCTTACAAGAATTTGGGAAGAAAATACAAGAACAAAATGAAAAAGTAGATAAACCTCTGGCAAGTATGTCAACAAACCCAAATGTAGAAGACTTTGGAAAGAGAAAGGTTATAAAAATAAAAGGTTAGAAGTATCAGTAATATCAGATTTTGCTAAATCTAAGAATGCATGTTTTAAAAGCTTGTGTAACCATAAAAGAAAAATAATTTTAAAAATACTGGGTTAAATGGAATAACAAAACTAATCAATCCAAAAGTGACAAAAAGGAAAAGACAAAATGTAGGACAGATACAACAAATAGAAAGTTTGATTTACACTCACATACATCATTAATTGGGAGCTCTGGTGGCGTAGTGCCTAAGGCATTTGACTGCTAACCATAGGCTGGCATTTCAAACCCACCAGCCACTCCTCAGAAGGAAGAATGGGCACAATCTACTTCCATAGTGATACTGCCTTGGAAACCCAAGGAGAAGTCGTTATGAGTCGGATTCGACTCAATGGCAGTGAGCTTGGTCTTTTTGGTTTTATGTCATTAAGCACAAAATTGACTAAATGTTTAAAATATAAAGATTGCCTTACTGAATTAAAACAAAACAAAATGAACAAACAAAACATTTTTATGTTATTTATAAAATGCTGGAAGAAAAAAGGGTAGAAATAATGGTAAACACTAATCAAAATAATATTTGTATAAACAAACCAATGAGTTGCTATCATGTCTGTTTCCACTGATGGTGACTCTCTGAGTTTCAGAATAAGACTGTGCTCCATAGGGTTTTCAATGGCTGTGATCTCTCAGAAGCAGATTGCCAGGACTTTCTTTTTAAGTGCCTCTCCATGGATTCAAATCACCAGTCTTTCTGTTAGCAGCCAAATGTTTAACCATTTGTACTACCCAGAAATTCCAGTGTTGGTATAGTTATACTAATGTCAAGGTAGATTTTAAGCCAAAAAACATTAGAGGTAAGCATAGATACTTCATAAGGATAAAAAGTTCAATTCTGAACCTGTAGCTATATAGTAACGTGGTTTAAAAATGTGTGTTTGTGCATGTATGTATGTATACACACACACACACATTTGTGTGTGCATATTTATATAGAGAGAGATGCATAGATACAGAGGTAAATATCTAGATGTAGACATATATACACATACAGAATTCAGAACTGTAGGGAGAAATGGGTAAATCATCAATAGTGATGATGTTGACATGAGTTTTACAGTAATGGCTAGAACAAGCAAACAAAATACCCTATCTTGACTAACATAATGTGCCTAACAAATGACTAAATGTTCAGATACAAAGCCCTATACCTCATGCCTACAGTTTACACATTCCTTTTAAACACAAATGAAATGTAATAAAATTGACCATGCACCGGGCCATAAAGATGAAAGCAAAGAATACCAGAAAGATGTTTACTTGTGTTTTATTGACTATGCAAAAACATTTGACTCTGAGGATCATAACAAATTATGAATAAGTTTGAGAAGAATGGGAATTCCAGAACTTAATTGTGCTCATGAGAAACCTGTACATAGATCAAGAGGTTGTTCGAAAAGAATCAAGGGATACTATATGTTTTAAGGTTGGGCAATCCTACTTCCATAGTGATACTGCCTCGGAAACCCAAGGAGGGGTCGCTATGAGTTGGGGTTGACTCGATGGCAAATAACAACAACAACAACAACGTATGTTTTAAAATCAGGAAGTGTGTGCATCAGGATTGTATCCTTTCACCACACTTGTTCACTCTGTATGGTGAGCAGATAATCCAAGCAGCTGGTCAATATGAAGAGGAACACAGCATCAGGATTGGAGGAAGACTCATTAACAACCTGCAATATGCAGACAACACAACCTTGTTTGCTGAAAGTGAAGATGACTTGAAACACTGATGAAAATTACAGTAGGGATTGCACTTTAACATAAAGAAAACAAAAATCCTCACAGTTGGACCAATAAGCAGCATCACAATAAATGGAGAAAAGATTGAAGTTGCTAAAGACTTCATACTACTTGGTTCCATTATCAACACCCATAGAAGCAGCAGTCAAGAAATCAGACAACGTATTGCACTGGGAAAATGTGTTGCAAAAGATCTCTTTAAAGTTTTGAAAAGCAAAGATGTCTCTTTGAAGACTAAAGTTCACCTAACCCAAGCCATGGTATTTTCAGTGACCTCATGTGCATGTGAAAGCTGGGCAATGGATAAGGAAGACCGAAGAAGAGTTGATGCTTTTGAGTTGTGGTGTTGGTAAAGAATAGTGATAGCACCATGGACTGCCAAAAGAACAAATCTGCCCTGGAGGAAGTGTAGCCAGAATGCTCCTTGGAAGCAAGAATGGCCAGACTTTGTGTCACCTACTTTGGTTATATTGTCAGAAAGGTCCATTCCCTGGAGGAGGATATCATACTTGGTAAAGTGGAGTGTCAACAAATAAGGGAAGGCCCTCAATGGGGTGGATTGACACAGTGGCTGCAATGATGGGCTCAGGTATAGTAAGGATTTTGAGGCTGGTGCGGGACTGGGCTGTGTTTTTGTTCTCTTGTACGTGGGGTTGCTTATCGTAGCCAACTAGATGGCACCTAACAACAAGAACAAAACTGATCTGAACAAAATTCAATGCCTTGAAATCATATAGAACATATGTTCTCAAGTCACAGTTCAGTTAACTTAGAAATAAGTAATAAAATACCTAGAAAACCCAAGAGACTCAGTCAAAAACCTACTGGAACTAATTGAGAGATTTAGCATCGTGGCAGGATATAAGATCAACATCCAAAAATCAGT